TGATTGAATGATTAAATATCAAGAAATTCTTACACTAATAGTTTCAAAAGTAAATATTTTTAAGAATCATATGATACACATTAGTACGACCCTGTTTGGCTTTCACGTGTGTATGTTGACAATTGGGAATATGTAAAATTAATGTAGTTTATATCTCTAGACGTACAAAGATAATGAATTAATACTCCTTGTGTCACCGCGTTTTTTGCCAATTCATCTACTATTTTATTTCCAGTTATTCCACAGTGGCTTTTAATCAATACCAACTTAACAGTTTTGTTTGTTATTTATAATTCAATGTAATTTACTTTTGATTTAGGATTTATGGCACTAATTTTACTTAAAGAACTTTTTCTGTCACTATAAATTATATACTTTGAATGATTTATATTAGATAAATATTTTAGTGCTTCTACTATCGCTATTAATTCAGCTGTGTATATACTCATGATGGAATTAAGTTTAAATATAGTATTTTTATTATTGTATTTTTTTATTTTTATTATTTAAAAATAGTATTTTTATTATTGTTATCCCAGTATGCACATCCCACACCTTCGATACTTTTGGATGCATTTGTATATAGCATATAACAATATTTGAACAATTGTGAACTGTCAGATATAAACATTAATTTTCTTAAAGATAAAGGTAATTTGCTGTATTCCCTTAAGAAGTATACCTGAACTTGTTCCAGAGTATTAAAGTCAATATTGTAATTTGGGTTTATGTCATATTTATATAGTTGTTTATCATATATTGTCATTTTTGAATAGAAATCTACTATATTTAGAATTTTCTTTTTTATTCAATATTTTTCTGTTAAGTCTAAGAATAGCTGGTGTATTTTGGATATTGAACTTGACTTTTTCTCGTACAATTTAACTAAAAGTCTGATGACAAGTTTTTTTCGTCTTATATCCATTGGTATTTCACAGCATTCGACTTGTAAGTTACTAATGGGTGTACTTCTTAGGGCTCCTATACACAATCTAAGGCATTTATTAACGATTTTGTCTATTTTGTTTAAATGACACTGTGATGCGTGAATGTATAATACTGATCCATAGTTGATTATAGCTCTTATATTATTTTTAAATAATAACAAAGAAATATTTAGATCGTAAGTGTGACACGAATCGAAGAAGATTTATTCCCTTTTTTATTTTTTAACTATATTGTCTATATGTTCTTTCCAGAGAAGCTGTCTATCAAGAGTAATGCCCAAATATTTAACATAACTTTGCATTGGATAGCAGACATTGTTTATTAAGATATAGTTCGATATCTCTTTTCGTTTTCTTGTAAAAATACATAATTTAGTTTTGGAATCAGAGATATCTAGTCCATATAATTCACTTCATGTTGTATGACTGTATCATCTGCAAATTGTAAAATGCTTGTGGAGTTTAATTTTTTTAAGTTTCACTAGATGAGCAGTATAAGTTAAATATAACAACGGGCTTAATATTCCTCCTTGAGGTAAACCATCCATCGCTAGCCTTGGACCAATTGTGTTACCATTTACCGATATATAAATTTTTCTAAAGTCATATAGTTTTATTATGTTTTGACATAAAAATTCGGGAAGACCTATTTGTGCCCTTTTGTTATATAACATACTTAAATTAACGTTGTCGTATGCTGGTTCAACATCTAATAAAAGAGCTGTTACTGAAGAATTTGACGTAAACGCTAAATTTATATGTATTACCAAGTGGCTCACTGCTTCCACAGTACAATGATTTTTTTGAAATCCTAATTGTGTTTGTGATATTTTATTATTATTATTTTTTTCTAACCATCTTTCAAGCCTAAGTTTTATCATTCTTTCCAGTGTTTTTGTTATGCTGAGCTTAATGAAATACCTCTATAAGATTCTGGCGAATCAGAATTTCGATTTGCTTTAATTATGGGAATCACCCGGTATTCTCTCCAACCATCTGGATTCTCTTCTGATTGCAATAATTAATTAAAAAATTTTAATAGTGTTTCTTTTTCTTTTTGATGTAAATTTGCCAACATAATATAATGCATATTATCTATTCCCGGAAAAGTGTTTTTCTTGTTCTTAAGACTTATTTCTAATTTGTATAAACTAAATGGCTCTGAAAGTGGATGATTAGAGTTTTTTCTTTCCATTATATTAGTTTTTGAAAATATATTATCTGGACATAAATTTCTCAAAAAGTCCTCAACCCATTCTTCTTTGGTCACTGGCTTTATTTGTGGTTTAAAAATATTTTTTAAACATTTGAGTTGATTCCAAATATTTTTTATTGGTGTATTTTTGTTTTAAGTTTTACAAAAAATTTTCTATGCATTACGCTTACTCTTTAATATAAATTTTTTGGTTTCTGCTACACATTTATTATAATGTATATAATTTTGTATATTGGACTGTAATTTAAACTTGCGTAAAGCAAGTTGTTGTTCTTGAATAACCTTTTTACAATTGTCATTCCATCAAGTTTTCCTAAATCGTGGACTAGTCCCTGTTCTTTTCTCCGGTATACATATTTTATAATATTCGTTTATTTTTTTAAAAATTATTGTTAACTTAAATTATTATCGAGTTCCATGAAATTATCAGTGATAGAAGAGAAAATAGACCAGTCCGCTTTATTTATATTCCATTGGAATTTTGTATTCACACATTCAGCTTTATTAACATTAATATTCGACTTTATAACAATAGCAAAATGATTTGATCCTAAAGTATTGTCCACAACATCCCAATCGAAACAATGACTAATATTTGCTGAACATATTGTAGGTCTATTGCCGATTTATTAATACTACTAGGTCTACGCAGTATAGTTTCTTTGCCGTTATTTAAAAGTACGAGTTTACAGTCCGCAAGTACTTCTAATAGATTTTTTTCTATAATGTCTACAGTACTACAACTCCAAACATAATTGTGGCTATTAAAATCACCACCAATTATAAAAGGCTTCTCCATACTATTAAAAAAGTTTTTCCATTCATTTACCGTAATTTTGAGGTTTGGCTTGACATAAATAGAATAAATGTTAATCTTTTTACCGGTTTTAATTTTAATTGATATGCTATTACACATTACGTCATTGATTGGATGAAAAGTAGGACTATTATAAAATTTAATTTGTTTTTCAATTGTATGACCACACCACCATCTCCATCATTCCTATCATTCCTAAAGATATTATAACCCGTAAAGTTAATAAAGTTACTTTTCTTTAACCATGTTTCTGATATGAGTCCTATATCTATATTATTGTCATACAAAAATAATATGTTAGCCATCACGATATAATAATAATTGTGAAATACTCTTTTTCAGTAATTCGAACGTTTTTTCATATAAATTGTGATTAATCTGATTTAAAGTTGTTGAAATAAAGTTTACTGTAATTTCTCCTATATTACTTTGATTATCGTTTTGTATCTGTGTTTTATTATGATAAATAGGGTTGTTAAAATTATAACAAGGCTGACTTTGTACTTTTGGTGTTTGCAAGATTTTTCTATGCGCTTCCATTATTTCTGGCTACGTTACTAGAATCAATACTACTTGATCGTTTTCATTTATATATTGTATATTTATTGGAAGTACTTTCTTGTTCTTTACTTACTATTGAATAATATTTTCTATATTTATTATTAGCTTCGTAATATGTTATATTTTCAGTATTAATAATATTTTTAATATACTCTTGTTTTTCTCTTTCACTACAATTTGCTTCCTTGTCAGTAGGGCTATGTTATCCTTTGCACAATACACAAAATAAATTGTTCGGATTTCAATAATTTGATTTATTATGTTTTTCACCGCATCTTTCACTCCTATCTTTTCCCCTATATTGAGCACGTATATGCCCAAATCTCAAACACTTTAAACATTATAACATTCTGGGTGTGTAATTTTCAACCTCGTAGATCATTTTTTCTATTACTACATTTGTAAGTATAGACTGACCTTTAAACGTTACTATTACAGTTCCAGTTTTTACGTAGATAGTAGATCCATTTTCTTGTACCACTTTCCGCATTATTCTTTTTACATGTAAGACTTCAAAGTTTATTCCAAACCTAGGTTGAATTAATCATAACAAATCATTTTCTATTTCTTTATCTACAGATTTTATAACTCCTTTCGTTTGAGTAAAAAACGTTGGAATATATATCTCGTACTGTTTGCTTTTTAAATTTTCAGATTCAATTAATTTATTAGCACTAGCAAAATTATTGAATTCTACCTTAATTTTATTCCTACCCACTACCGTTTGTGTGATATTATTTTCAATTTCAGGTACTGAACATAAAATTAATCGGGCCGTGCCTATCCTGTGTAATTTGCCTATATTACTGTTTTTATTTTCTATATGTACTATATATGGTGCATTATCTCCTAATTTATATCTATTATTTTATCTTAAATTTATAACTTTATTTAAATTTGGATTACCTGATCTATCTATTGTATTACATTGAGTCAACAAATACAACTTTGTATCGTTATTAAAATCAAATTGGTTACCTACCTAGTTAGTGCTAGTTGTTTGGCTTTTTTCGTTTCGTTTCGTTATCATGTACCCTAATGTTGCTATTTTTGTTTTAATTCATCAAATTCCATCATCTTATCTTTTCCTAATTCTGTATAAAATTGCCCTCTATCTGGAGGCTTTGGTGGAATTTCTTCCATGTAGATTTTTTTGAGATTTTACTTCCTACACGCGAAATATACACTTTCTTACAGACCACTAGTTTAATGTGTCTTTACCACTACGAGTGATACTGTAAACGTAAAGAAAAACCCTTGAAAATTGATATTTTTTTGTAAGAGCTTCAAAATATGGGCCTTTTGATTTGACGTTTGTAAAATAAAACAGTTGTAAAAAATTAAATGACATAAAATGTACTTTATAAAATACATAGAATTTAATACTGTATCAAAAATTTTTATAGAAATTTTTAAAATTTCGTTTGAAATTTTACAAAATTATGTTTTTTTTTTTTAGGAAAGCCAGGTATCATTTGTATCGAAGGAGCTGCCGCAGACGTCCAAGAATGCTGGCAGTCCATTAAATCTATGAGCTGGAAAAAAATCTTCTGTAAAGTTGTCGAAGACGATAAAGAAGAAAAAGGGCGCAAATTTTTAAAATTCGACAAATTCGAAGAAGTCGTTTTTCAGAACAACGGAATCAAGTATAATCACATGGATATGGGTGAGCTGCATCATTACTTAGAAGACCATAGTGTCGGTTATATATTTAAAGATATTTTCGGGGTGGAAGCGAGATCGAGTACTAGCTCTTAATTTTGTAAATGTTGAAGTCTCCATTCATTTTACAGTAGTTAAATAAGAGTACTAGGAACCTAAAGGTAAAAAGGAAAATTTTATATGAAAGATTTTTATAAGCAGTTAAACAATTTAGTACTAGAAATACCTATTAATGGAAAGAAATTGGCAGTCAGAGGGAAGTAATGAAATGTGTTGTGAAGAATGCCCTTCTATAAGTACCTTTGCCGTGTTCTATCGATTTGGGTACAAGTCGTCTTGTCTATTCCAAATGATATATCTGTGGTGTCAAGGAAAAAGGGGATGAGTCAAAAAAATTCAAAAATGAGTTATTTGCAAAAATAGATTCAGTGCCTGAATATCTAAATAAGGTAAAAAGAAGTTGAGTCAATAACTAGTTTAGCATTATAATAATAGAACAAAACCAAATGAGATATGTCAAAACATTTTAAATTATGGTAAGACAAAACGAGATGAGTTGACTTATCTCACTAGTCGTTTGAAGACTAGTGAAATCGATAACACGGCAAAAGGAGTTAAGTCGCGTGATTTGCATATGCGCACAGCCTCCTACAGTTAAGGACTAACTGTTAAGGTTAACTGTAAGTAGGAGGCTGTGATATGCACGGTAGCGTTTAGAGTTCTTATTTAGAAAGTGTAAACAGTGTGTGAATATTTGACAAATAAATTGAAAATTGTCATTATATACAACATAATTGACGAAATTATGAAGAGAGCAGATAAAATTATTGCGTTAGTGCTTCCTAATCAGTTACGACAAAGTAAGTATCATAATTTACTAAAATGATTGTCTTATTAACGGTTATAACCTCAAAAGTATTTAAAATTATATTGATTACAAAGTGATCACGGTGTTAAACATTTATAACATACCAAGAAAAGTTTAACAACAGAAACAATATTTTTATGTATTTTTGCAGTGTCGCCAGAGAAAGAGCGAGAAAGCAGAAAAAGCGAGCATAATAGACAATCCAGTAATGACTTAGTTTTCACTTCAACTTCTAGTTTAATTTTTGATGGAAAAATTCCAGGTAAATATTATTTCATTTCTAAATATTTTTGTGGTGGCTCGAAAAATATGTACTACACGAGGATTATTCTCATTGAATCGCAATGAATTTTGGCATCTAGTATAAAAGTTCAGAAAAGATTAGTTGAGTGTAAACTGTGTCTTAATATAAAAATAGAATATTTGATTAACAAAATATAGGTAACGTACCTGTTGGCTTTTTGTGCTAAAAAAAGGTACTTATATTTTAAAATAAATTAAAATGACTAAACTTTAATCAGAGAAGTCAGTCTTTGCGGTCGTAAAAATGAAATGTATAGTGTCTACCAAAGTATTTTCAGAAAATTTATTTAAAGGGTCTTACAAAAGTAGTGTTCTTATATTTGATTGTAGTGTACTTAATCAGAGTTATTCCAGGGTCAAAAAGCGAAGATCTACAGGATAAAATAATTCTGATGCCAATCTATCCATATAGAACCAAATTTTTTAACACCTTTTTGATAAATTTAACTAAAATAATTTGATAGCCCTTATACGTTCATTTTTTCAATAAAAATTTGTATCGGCGAGTAATAATATCTATATTTATTTTTAATTTCAGGTTGTTCTTCTACAAATTACGAGGAAACCTATCAGTCAGCTATCATGCCAGAACAAAGTGACTATGACTCTGATGATAGTCTTCGCGATGAAACATATGCTCCTGAAAACTTATCAGGCTCAACATCCTCAGCTTCGGAAGGTGCATTAGAAGAGACACATACTCTTATTGATGAATCACAGGATTTTCTGCAAGAAAATATTGAGCCTTTGGAAACAAACATTAATAAAAGGAAGCGAAGGGGATGTAACCTTCGAAAAACTTTACAACAAAAACGAAATAAGGGTTAAGAATATACAACAAAGACAGGTAAAACTATAACTGCGAGAAAAGTAATTGCATTAACAGGTAGCTGTCGTAAAAAATGTTTAGATCGGATTTCTTTGGAAAATCAACAAACACTTTTTGATGAAGTATGGGCGACTGGAGATTATAACAAACGCAGTGCTTATTTATCTTCCCTTATCTTAGACGTTCCAAAAAAATCTCAACGAATTCGCGTAAAAACTGGAGATCCAAAAAAAAAGGAGTATGAATCATAAGTACCACTTTAAAATCGACGGCCAGTTAGTTGAAGTGTGCAAAGGTTGTTTTATTAAAACTTTTGGAGTATCCAATAAATGTATTGAAGTTATCATTAAAAAGCAATTAAAATGTGTATCAGGTATCTTGGGTCCAGATAAAAGAGGAAGTCATGTTCCGCTCAATAGAATTGGAGACCATGCAGTTCAGCTTATTAAAGATCATATAAATTCTTACCCATTATACGAGTCACATTATAGCAGAAGACATACCACCAAAAAGTATTTACCATCAGGTCTGTCAATATCAATTATCTATGAAATGTATAAGCAAAAGATTGAAAATCCTGTATCATACTCTTTTTTTGGAAATGTATTCCGTACAATGGGTTTATCATTTAAGAAGCCTTCTTTGGATACATGTAATACATGTGATTCATACAAAATGAAAATAAAACTTGCTTCTGTAGAAGAAGTAGAAAGACTTCAAAATGAATATGATGCTCATTTATCAGAAGCCGATACAGCTTATGCTATGAAAAATGATGATAAAGGAAAATCCAGCGAGTCAAAAAGAGTATATTGCTTTGATCTTCAGCAATGCCTTCCTACTCTGTATCTAAAGACTAATATTGTGTTTTATAAACGGTTGCTGTGGACATTTAATCTAACAGTGTATGACTGCTACAGTAAAAAAGCTATTTGCTATATGTGGCACGAAGTAGAAGGAGGCCGTGGAGCAAATCAAATAGCTTCCTGCCTTTATCATCTTTTAGTGTCATTGCCATCCCATGTCACCGAGGTGACTTTTTATTCAGACACATGTGGTGGCCAAAACAAAAATAGCCACGTAGCTGCAATGTTTCTTTGTATCACTAGAATTCGACCTGACTTACAAATTAATCAAAAATTTCTAATTCCGGGACACACACACATGGAATGCGATTCAGTTTATGCCCAAATTGAACGGAAAAAGAAGAGAACAAACATGTCCATTCACTTGCCCAGCGATTGGTATAATCTTGTCAGATCCATAAGTCCAACTATCACTGTTTTTGTTATGAAGAACGATATGTTCTTGGATTTTGCAGATTTGTATAAAGGTCCACTTCAATTACGAAAAGTAAATATAGCTAGTGCCAAATTTAATTGGCACGATGTCAAATGGTTTCGTTTTAGCGGACAACATGACTCAGGTGTACTAAAGTATAAGACAAAATTAGATGAGGGAGAAACGTTCAAATCAATTTCATTCTCTCGCAGGGGAAAGTCTGATGATCTTCTACTACCAAAAAAATGCTATAGAACTAGACTTGCTATCAGCCAAGAAAAAAAAAACGAGATCTCATTAGCATACTTCATCTCATTGAAACAGAAAGCCATGATTTTTTTAAAACTTTGCCTTCCAATGCCAATGCTAAGAATGAGGATCCCGACTTAGAGGAGTACGAAGATAATTAAATTATAAATAATTGGAATACAAATCTTACTGATATTTGATTTAACCATTGAAATTAATTTGTGCAAAATATTTAGTTTTTCAAGAAGTAGAATTTTCCAATATGAAATTTATGGATTATTTATTTTGTTTGTACCTAGATTGCCTATATTGTAATTATTTACTCAAAATAAACATATAAAAATAGTGAGTTAAGTTTAATATAACGAAATCCAACCAATTTTTTAATAAGGTAAAAGGGGATATGTCAAATATTTTTCAAAATATAAAAAAAATATTATATTTTACATATATATAAACAGTCTCTATTTCTATATAAATATAATCGTTTAAAAAAATTTACTTAAGTTTGTATTATTTTTTTAATTCACTTTTTGCCATACGGCCGATGGGATAATTTTAGATTTTATGCTCTACTGAAAAGTTGTTTTTTCAGACTCATCCCCTTTTGCCTTAACACCACAGATATATAGCTAATGATGATTTTGCCATAGTCTTAAATATCTTATTTGTTTTATTGCAACATTTATTTTTTCATTGATTTTTGCGTGACTGTATCTAACAATTGGAATAAATGGCAAAGAAGATGAAAAGAAAGTAAGAATTAATTAAATATACAATGAATAATATATTTAATTATAGTAGTACACAAAAACTAACAAATTACAGTTAGTTTTACTCAACATAAACGGAGTAAATGACAATTGAAATCCCTGACAGTTGACAGAAGGTTAAGCAGTCAATCAATGAAAGCCAAGCGCGGTCCTAGTGCGTGATTATTACATCACAAGCACAGAATAATAAACAATCAGAATGCCCACTCTCAGATGCCGCCTTTGAAGTTTGTCAGCACGCGAACGCCATGTTTTAGACGGAAACATAGACTCGAATTGAGACATTTGTGACAAGCTATGACAGAACTGTAATTTAAATTTTTAGAAATTAAGGATTTAGTACATTTGAAATAGTTTAATCGATTCTTCAACCAAAAGTATCAATAAAATAGTACATATTATATCTGTAGTTGCTGTAAATAAATTAAACCGGGTTAGTTTGTCTATGCATACCAGATATGTCACTGAACAGCACTGGTTTCATTTAAAACATGGCTGATTCCGTCTGCGCGAACAAGATGCGCGTACTTATTGTTTTAAGCAGAGTGGGCATTCTGATTGTTTCTTGGTCTGTGTCACAGTCAAGTGAATGGAGACTTTTAGTGAAATCGCTTGTAATATAAGTGTTTTTTGTAAATGTTTTTATATTCGTTATTGGTCTGTTAAATAGGTTTTGTATTTTTAAGATTTGGATATTTGTAAATGCAAAAATGCAACTAGATGGTTTGCCATATTTGTTGAAAAATAACAACGTCAATTCGTGGATATATTTGTGATTTCTGAGATACTTTTT